TTGATAACATATAACAACATGGATAAAAAAAATAAAAAAGCATACAAGAAAACAAGCATAATCAGAGTCATAATGGAATTTCGTTTTCTACATTTTTTAAAAGGACTTATATTTCGTTTTTTTTTAATTGAAATAACAAGATCATAGTATATTTTGGTATAAATTACAACAAAAAATATAAGTGTTTCTCATTTAGTAAAGATTAAAAAATATATTTGTTTTGTCAGTTGAAATGGCAAATCAACCTATTAGTTTTATGTTAGTAGATGATGAGCTATATATTTAAAATTATTTAAATGAAGTGCCTAATTTGCTTCACTACGTTAGCTGATTAATTTTAGAAATCAGATTGATCTTCTATATAGTATAAGTATTTTAAGGCTCTTAGCAAAGTAATTTTGTTATATATATATATATATATATATATTATATATATATATATATATATATATATATATATATATATATATATATATATATATACATATATATATATATGTGTGTGTGTGTATATATATATATATATATATATATATATATATATATATATATATATATATATATATATATATATATATATATATATATATATATATATATATATATGCGTGTGTGTATACTGTCTTTTTAGCTGCTCCTTATTAATACTTAAAGTGTAATCAAAGGATGTGCAATCAGCAATCAATATAAAACTAAAAACTGTGTTGAAAGCTAAAAGGATTTAAATTATGAAAGATGTTATAAGAACGTGCATAAAGTATTTCTAGCTTTTTGATTGTCTTATTTTTTGAGTCATTTGTTTAAAAAGTTTATATATGAACTTTTTTGATTTTTTCTACCAATAGCAAATATTAATTATACAATTTTCTCCAGGTGCAATATCAGCATGTGCAGAGTTGGATAAAAATCATGTGTTTTAAAAAAAAGCCTGACTCAACTGGTTTGTTTATTGCTTTTTTTTTTTTTTTGTTATTAGTTTAATGTTGACCATGAACTTTTGAATTGCTATATTTCTAACCACACTATTAACCAAAAGAGTTTTTTAACTTAACCGCAAACTTCCTTTTTTTACCTGACTTGCCTAGCTAAAACTCAAATTAATTGCCAATATTATATACTAGATTTTGATAGTATAGAAGCCTATTCAAAAAAGCCAAGATTTATAACAAAAGGGATAATAAAGCCAAAACAACTCACTTTTTTTTTTGAGCATTATGGGAATTTAGTTTTACCTCTTGAATACAATTATTAAAAGAAAGTTTTATGCAAAACTGGTTTGTTAATTTAAAAATTTATTATTTTTCAGACATTATTGCTAAATCACAACGATTTAATGTGAAAACATTTTGTAGAACACTTTGTCCCAGGGGTATTTGTTCTGAAATAATATTCCACCAAACTTCGCTAGTGTGAATATGGTATTATTGACATAAAGAAAGTAATGTAAAGTATTTTGCAATAAGTTGAAAACTCGCATTTAAGATGTTTAGCATACATATTAATTTTGAAATTTTAGCATACATATTAAATTTAAAATTTTCCCTAAAAGGTTGATATAAATCATCACAAAGAGTTCAAACTTTTAATACAAAATTTTTGCTTATTTTTAAATCAATTTATTCTTTTTGTTTTCAGTATTTAACTTGTTTTTTTTAACTCTTTTTTCATTTTCTTGTCATTGTCCTTTTTTAAGTTTGTGTTGTTTAGAAGGTCTTCTCTCTTTTCATTTTACCCAGGTGATATGAGAGTGAGCTTTTAAGTTGATATTATATTATTTAATTTAAATAATATAATATCAATTGCTTCTTAAACTTTAGGAAGCAATTTATGATATTTACCCGCTAGTATAATTTATAATTTATGATATAATATAGTTATAATTTATGATATTTACTAGCTGTTGTTGTTGACTATTACTTGAACTTAAATTAGGTCCTAATATCTGATTAAATTTTAGCAGTATCATAAGTTTAATTATAGGTAGTATTGCTTATTTTAAGTTAAATTATCAAAATAACTTTCTAGATGAAACATATTATTTAATAGTTTTATTTATGTTTAATTTTGTAGTATTTATTAGTTAATATGTATTTAACTTATATACCTATTAAATACGTATATAAATTAAATATATATTATACATAATTTACATACATATTATAAACATGAAATTTATTCGTACTAGATGACTAGTCGACTCAGCCAGTTATGAATAAATTATTAATTGCAATTGTCAGATTCAACTAGCCGACTATGACAAGTATGAATAATAATTGTGTTTATACATAGGCTCACAAATGCTTAACATAGAAAAGTTACACTTGTTTTGTTTAATACATTGTTATGTTAAAATAATTTAGTTCTGTTTTAGATAAAATATATGCTAAAAAATGAAGTGAAATAATATGCAATGTCAGATATGCAGACCAAAATAGTTGGCTAATAAGTGAAATTTTTTTAGTAACTACCGCAACAAATCAGCAATTAAATCAAAGCAACAACAACACTGAAAAAATTTGTTTTTGAAAAAACAACTTTATGTTATACCAATGATGGTGTAAATTTCAAGCAACAGTTATTTTAAGTTAGTGCAACTCAGAAAAAGAGTTTTCTGTTCAATCTGATACAGATTCAGATGCTCCTGATGAAAACAGTTTGTCATTCAGAAATTGATTATAAATCTGGAAGGCAATATGTTTGTCTGTAATTAATAAAAATTTGTTACAAATATTAGGTTGTCTTTAAGAAAAAAAATTAAACATTTTATTTGAATTGGAAATTGCTCTGAACATCTATTTAATGGAAACAGTTTCCTGTTTCAACTATTTAAAGTGGCATTTTATGAGTACCATTCCTGAGTATTAATTTTATTATGTTTATTTATTGCAGTTTATTTAAGTTTTTGTGGTGTCTATTTTAGTGGTATGTATATAAAACTGCTTTTATTTAGAATTAACAGTTTATAACATTAATTAGATTTTTTATAAAACTTTATAAAAAGTTTATAAAACTAATTAATTTTTTTATAAATGGTACATTCAAGTCATTAATAAATAAAAATTAAATAAAACATCATAAATAAAAACTTGTTTATCAAAACCACAAAGAGCTTTTGTTTTTTCAATAAAAAAAAAAAAACGTTCAAACAACAAACAGCGAACATTTACTTAACGTTCACTGCAAACGTTATTTTGATAGCTTTTATACATTCACCTCAAACATGTTATAACAAACACAGAAGTTAACCCAATTTTTTTATTTTTTATTTAAACGTATAAATGTATAGGTTTAGACAGACTTCCTGTTTAAACTTTCATTTGCTAGTTTTTGTATAAAGAAATTATACAAAAACTAGCAAATGTAGCCCTTAATTATTGAACATTTGTTATATATATATATACTTTTTATACAAGTTGACTGTGATGCTGTTAGCATTACTGTTGTTGAAGTAGGCTTCAAAAACATTTTTCTTCTTTTAGATGGTTGGATAGTTTTTTAACTAGTAACCTTATAGTAGTATACCCAAACCAAGTAGTATACCCAACCCCAGTAGTATACCCAACCTGTACTTTGCTTTCGATATGAAGATGATACAATCTTTTGTCCTCGCTATATTCACCAACTTTTTTTGTGATATCAAAAATAAAGAAAATCCTATTCATTTAATGAATTGTACTTTTTTTTTGTTTCACACATTATTTGTTAGTTTTCAGCACTAGATCCAGTTTTGCTTGTACTACTTGAATTGATAAATGTGGAAAAAATAATTTCTTTTGCTATAAACATGTGATTTCTTTCTCAGTTGGCTATATGCATTTTCAATTCTCTTTAATAGATTCTCCTTGGAACAGATAGCAACCAAAAATTTTTATTTTGAGTGGTATCCTACTGTTATTTTGTAGTGATAGTTGTTCTAGTGGAACAGTTATTTTTTTCCTATGTGACTCATAAAATCGTAGGACTCTTTATCCAAATAGTTTGAAGTGAAAGCACTTTTCTTGTATTTCTTAGTACATTATTATTGAAGTTACTACTTGAATATATTTCTGTAAAACAATAACAATAAAGTTAAGTATTGTACTTCTTTATTATTTGACTGCCATCTGGCGAATACAGTTTCATATATAACTATTAGTGCTGCTTAATCATGTAGTATATATAGTCTAAATGTTGCTATTTTCTAAAAAACTCCAAAACAATTTAGGAAGTTTAAGAAATTTCTATAAACATTTAGAACAGTCCAGAAAATTCTAGAAAGTTCCATATGGTTCAAGAAAATTTTAGGCTTTAGAAAGTCTAAATGCAACTGCTTACAAATACTACTTATATACCATTTAAAAAACTTTGTGGTGCAGGTGACTTTTTTTTTCTTTCTTTGAAAAATTCTTTTTTTGAAAATTTATCAGAATAAAACCCTTTTTCATTATTTTTGAGGAAAATTTCATCAATTTATGACACAGGAATTTGATTATTTTTCAAAAAAATTAAAAACCAAACTTTCACCCCCTAAAATATAATTTTTTTATTACAAAATATAGCTTTTATTTCAAACAAAAATAAGAAACTAGGCAACAACAAATTATCGTTTACATACCTGCTTTACAATTTTGCCTAAGTTTATAGTAGAAAAAAAACTGGATACATTTTGTTTTAAGAAATTATCGCTTATAATTATAATGTATAGAGTCAATGTCATTTTTAACATAGTTTGGTGTATTAAACTACTGTGGCTGTTCAGTGGCGGATGTTCATAAAACTGCAATAAATTATAAATGGTAAACAACTTTTTTTTTTTAACTGAGAAAAACATAAAATTAAAAAAATTAATTGATTTCAACATTCATGGCAATTTAGATTTGTTTTTATGTGTTGAAAATGTTTTCTGCAAAAATCTGTTAGACACCCCCTCCCTATTTGATTACTTGCGCTCACCCTACTTTTAAAGATGTTTATGCATCAATAAATCCAACAATGACAAATGAACTACAAATAAAAAACTACTTAATTGAGAAATAGATTTACATGTTTTCACAACTTGTTCATATTCTAAAAAAAAATCAACTTGACTCTTCCTTTTACATCTGCTCATGATAAGAGAAGTATCAGTAGACAAAAGATTATCAAAAATTACCTATGATCAACAATCCCAAAAGAATGTCTTTCTGAATTGGCATTAGTTTTAATTAAACTTTCTGGATTGCCATTATTTTAATTAAAGCTTGCTGAGAGCATTGAATTTAAATTATAAATAAATTATTTTGCTCTAACCTAGCAAAAACAGATGCCCATAGGACATTTATACAACGTCTAATAGAAGTCACAAGTCTGTAGAAGGTTCTTAAGAGATCAAAGACCTAAAATTCTCAGTGGCGTCGTGGCCCCAGAGGCTATGCCGGAATCCCGCTTTGGCCTATCACTATTTATTTTAGAAGGGCCTTTTTTTTGAATTTTAATACTCTTTACTACATTCTGAAAATGATTATTTAAACTATTTAAATGATTTTCAAAATTTTATTTTTTATTCCACAAATGATTTACAAATGATATTTACATGCTTTATTTTTATTCCACAAGTTAAATTCTTTAACAAATCCCTGATTCAAACTGTTGCACTTTAGGCGCATACATATTAGTATTTTGCATAATAAAATGCAACCGTTTGTAACTTTTGCCTCAAAGCAAAGTCGATATTGGAAAAAATAAATGTATGTTGCGCCATTTAAATCGCTTATTATACCAGTCATTATATAGATAAAACTATGTAAGTTAGCCAGTGATTATTATGAGAAATAATTGTGTTCAATTTTTATTTATAGAAAAAAATTCGAATTGATAAAATTTTTGTTAAGTTAGAATGATTAGTTGTTTTTTCATAAACAAAAATTGTAACCTTTTTAAATATAAGTAATTTGTATGAGTTTTTAAAGAATTGCTCTTGTTGTATGTACTACTACTATTTAAAAAGTAGTTAAATATTTTTTCTATATATACGAATAAATAAATAAAGTATTTTCTATTTGAAAGTATTACGAATTCATTTATTTCAGGGACTGCAAATACGTTGAAACTAATATTCAACATTATAAACTTTAGTAACTGCTTTTTTTTTTCAAAGAACATAAAAACCGTCTTTGTTGTGATTATAGCTTCTATTTTTTTTTTTTTAAGATTTGGCATAGAATGGAAAATCTTAACAATTGTATACATTCAATTTGATCTTCAAGTTGATAAGAACAATGTAAAATAACAATGTAAATATATATGTGTGTATATATATATATATATACATATATATATATATATATATATATATATATATATATATATATATATATATATATATATATATATATATATATATATATACATATATCTTATATTGCTGAGTTAGGTGAGCATGATGATGTCATACTCACCTAACATCAAATAGCCTGCTGCTGGGGGCTTCAGTACATACATCAACTGACAAATAGCCTGACTCGCAGTGGAGTGCTGCTACATCGACTGAGGGTTTGGTATGGGTCAGCAACCTTTTCATTCATTATTCTTCATTTTCCCTCATCGTTTTCCAAAAACGCTCACTTAATTTAGATTAGCAAAAAAAGTGAGCAATTGCGCATATAAATATGCTATAGTAGATAGAGAGTAGAATCCAGAGTAAGAAAGTATCGAGCTCAATAAAGAGAAGCAACTTTAGCAGATGCTAATTTTGCAACGGATTTGATATAAGGTTTCCAAGAAAGAGCAGAAGTAAGAGTTAATCCTAGAAGATGAAGGGTAGGAGACTCATTGAGTACATTACCATTCATAAATATAGGAAGGTCTAAATTATTGCGATAACAATAGGCTGAAAAAATTGAGTTTTATTTGAGTTAAAGTCCACCAGCCACTGGAAGCCCAATGCTGTAGCAGAAGTGAGATCCTTTTCAAGCTCAGATGCTCCCTGCAAGCAATCAGAGGGAGTTGGCTTCTAATTGTGAAAAGAATAAATGGTAGTATCATCAGCGAACAATGCCACCTTAGATGTGAGAATATCTGGAAGACAGTTAATGTAAATTAAAAAGAGTATAGAGCCAAGGATTGAACCTTGAGAAACCCCTGAGGTTATGTATATACATACATACATACATACATACATACATACATACATATATATATGTGCCATTTTTATTTCTAAGGAAATCCAATTATAACTTGTTGATTTAATATGTTGATTTAATAGTTAAGATCATATATATATATATATATATATATATATATATATATATATATATATATATATATATATACACACACACACATTCAAATCAAGCATATTTGGTGTAATCCCGCATATATGAGCGTTTTTGAAAAAATACAACATGTGCTTTTTAGAGCCCCTGAAAATTTTTAAGCACTCTGTACCCACTAGAAAGTCTCGCAAAAAAAATTTTTATAAACTAGCAGCAAAGTAAATTTGTTACTTAATGCTGCATTCAGAAATGTCTAATGTAAATGTATTTTTAAATAACTGAACCATCGCAAAAATAATAAATGTTTTCTTTTTTTAATTATTAACCAAAGTAAACTTAGTAAACTCAAACTTTAGATTGTTTAGTGTCTGAGATGTACCTAAGATAAAAGGCACATAAAGCCATTGATAAAATATAAATTTTTCAAATTTGTGACTCTTGAAAAAAATGTTTCTGGGGGTTAATATGCTATCCACAATCGCTGTTACAATTTATTCATTTCCTGCCCCCTCCTACTACTGTTGTAATAGGGGGGCCGGGGGGTTTGATCAGGGCTATATTTGGGCTAGTTTTTCTAATGATTCTCTTTCTCTGTGCAAAAATGCAATGTAAACGTAGTTAGACCCGCTCTATATGCTAACCTTGAGCCTCTTTCCCATTGTTGTAAAGTTGCATCTCTTTCTCTTTTCTACAAATACTATCATGGTTGCTATTTTCAACTAAAACTTCTTCATTTCATTCATAAAACTTGTGAATAAAATATTTTATTCACTAAACCTTTTCAAAATGTAATTTTAATAAACACCTTGTAATAAACAAAATGTAATTTTAATAAACAAAATGTAATTTCAATAAACACCTTTTCAAAATGTAATTGAGAACTTGAAAGTTGTAATTAAGAAAATTTTGAAAGTTGTTATTAAGAAAAGTAAGATGTAATTAAGAAAAACAATGTGTAATTAGGAAATTTTAAAATGTAATTGAGAAACCCAACATAAAAATAAGAAATCGCAATATGCAATTAGAGAAACAAAAATTGTAATTAAGATATCATAATATGCAAATGAAAAAAATAATAAATTAGTAATATCAAATTTAGCATTTGTATGCACCAGCAATACAGTAATACAGTAATGGAATTGAAATATCGTTGCGTTATTTATCAATATACTATGAACAGAATATCTGTTATTAAATTGAATCCGTGCAAGCATTTATTTCACCAAATTTGTTTACATCCACTTCTGGAAGAACAAAAACCATCTTGTCCAGTTTGTAGACATGAAATACATACAACTGAACAAGTTATACATATTTTATGTCTACAAATTTACTTACTAATTGACAAGCAACATTACATTTTATCTTCATCGAATGATAGAAGAGTTATTGAATCTGATTGATCAAAATGACGATTGGGTGACTTTACCTCAAACTTCAGGTGTCAACTATGAGACAGCATACAAATGGGTTTGCAGCAAAATTTAATTAGATCGGAAAGAGTGGTTTTGAACTAAAAAAATTTACCTATAATCAATTTACTTTTTATCAACCTGCGGAGACGTCAAAAATTATTACAACTTTTTATCGACCTGCGGAGACGTCAAAACATTTACATAAAAATTGACAAAAGATTTCACAAAAGAGTGATTAAGTAAATCAAAGGAAGAAATATAATTTTTAAACAATTTTAAAAACAAGGATTTAAACATTTTAAAAACAAGGATAGTAATCAAGAAATAAAAAACATTAAAATTAGTGGATATACTCAACTGATTAAAAAATCTACCCGCACAACACCTGAAACTTCCAGAATAATTGACATAGTACAAGTTTTAGTGATCATGAGATGGTGTTCTGCACACGAAAACTAAATCATTTTTGCTTTATACCGAAAACCATTCAGTGTCGTGGTTACTCAAATTACAATAGAGACTCTTTGAATAAAGAAATCCTTCAATTGGTATTAAAAGCCTTCAATTGGTATGCTATATATAAATCATCAGACATAAATTCTTTGGGAGCTTTTTTCAATAAAAATTTGAAAATTTTTTTTGACAAATATGCACCAATTATTAACAAGAGAGTGAATAGTTGCCCTTAGATAAATGACAATTTTAAAGCATGTATAAACAATTGTGATAGAGCTCAGCATATCTTTCATAAATCTAAAACTATTTGACATTTAAACGTTTACCAAATCAAGTAAACACTTTACTTAAGTCATCAAAGTCAAAGTACTACCATGTTGTGATAAAAGAAAATTTTTTAAAACCCATAACATTCAGGAAAAGCGTAAAACAGATTTTTCCAACTAAATCAACTCACATAAAGGCTTTATTTCAACTAAAAAAAGATTTCTGAAAAAAATTAAAAAAAATCAAATAGTTCTGACAAAAGTCATTAATTAAAAATAAGCAGACTTATTAGTTAGTAATAAAGACAGTATATTATTATAAATGAAAGTAGTTGTCAAAAAATCGCTTTTTAAATATCAATGGATTACAATTTTTTTTTAAAGCATAATAATCGAATAGCTGATAATATTAAAGTTTAAAAATATTAAATTTAACGCTGTTATCACAAGTCACTATAAGTCTGTTATCACAAGTCACTATAAGTCTGCTAACAAACAGTTTTTTGTTTTAACTGTGCAATTTTTTACTTTGATATTTGTTTATTCTATTGAACTTTAAAAAAACAAAATAGCAACTTACTCAAGTTAATAACTTCATATTTTTTTGCTCTCCAGCCAAATTTTTCATACAAATATGATAACCAATGCTCTTTAAGTTTTTGATTATTAACAGCATAGAAAAGAAATATAAAAAAACCTTGAAGAGAATTAAAAATACAAAACAACCATTGGAATACAGTTTTAAACTTTCCCACAGCCAAAACTGCAAAAACCCAAGTTGTACCAAGCAATAAAGAGCATGCAAAAGCTATTCGAACTTTCTTCTTGCTCTTAACCTTATTGAACGGGCTAGAGTTGTTATCAATACCCCTGATAACTAATACAAGCATTACAATATTGAATACCATCACTACACAGACAGGAAGGAGTACACCAAAATAAAATGGTAAACCTTGAACTACACATCTAAAAAAAATAAAAAAAAGTCAATTATATATATAACATTTTTTACAAACAACAACAGATGCACTAGATACTTACAAGTTTAAGCTTTTTTCTGCTTCAGGTCCTAAAGAGTCTGGCTTGCTTAATCCTGTTGCTATCGTAAATAATAATGGAAGACCTAAAAAAATGTACATAGTGAAATATAATATTTAATTTGTAGTAAATATGCACGTCTTTTTATATAAACCAAATAACCATTTTTGCAATTTTAATTGGTTTTTATTGGTTAGCAGAGAATTAACGCTAGTATAGATTTAACTGTAAAAATTGTTTTGATTCCAAATTTTGCAAATTTTTTTTTTCAATTTTATACTTAGAAAAGGATTAAAGAGTAAAGTTAGAAATTTATTGTAGTTGATACTGTTTGTTTTTTTTATGTCTATTAGCATCTTTAAAAAAGGTTTGAGTTATTTTTTTTTTTTATGTTTAAACATTTTTAATAAAAATAGATGTAAGAAACTTTATTTCTTGATTAATTCTTTGAGGAGAGCATAATTGTTTTGCACGTGCTAAAAGACTTTTAAATATACCATAAATTAAACTAAGTTGTCTAGTAAAAGTTAAATATCACATATCTGTACAAGTTAAATATCATATATCTGTATTACCTGGTGATGCAGATATATGATATTTAACTTGTATGTTTGTTAAAGCCTTTTTTCTAAAAATAAACAATTTTAATATTTTAGTTATTTGATAGCGTTATATCTGAAAAATTTAACTCTATTGCAGTTTTCAATATGAAACTGTATGTTTGGATCAATTGAGTTTATAAGAAGTTTGAAAGTAAAAGCATAATTGATATTATTAAAATATTTAAGGCAGTCATTAACATGACCTTGTAAGTTTGCAGCTTGAGATTTTATAAAAGAGCTATTTAAGAATCTTTAAAGATACAATACTTTGACACTCAAAGTTTGGGTATTAATAGCGCTATTAGAAGGTATGTCAAATCTAGTCAATAGCAAGGTGTTTGCGCATATTAAAAGGAACCAACCGATTCTCTCTATTTTGTAGATTAATTTGGTAAGTTTGGAGCAACCTCAATAGCTTCAGATTTAATGAATATCCTAAAAATACTCTAAATCAAATGCACAAGATCACTATTCATGTGAGATCTATTTATGGAGTGTCTGCTTGATACAGCTTCAGAAGCAGTTGAAACATGCCTTTTGGTCCCATTAAAATAGATTTTGAAATATCACTGTTAGGAAACATAGTTTGAAATAAATTAGTGGTGTCTTTGTTCAAATTATATAAAATTTGACTCAAGCAACAATGCAAATCTTACATAATTACTGCATAGACTTACTTAGAACTGCCTGTTTTGTCAGTTTTGTCACAATTTAAAAAAACAGGAAATATACCTTCTGATTGAAATATGCTTCCTTTCAATTTTTTTCACATTTTAAGCCTTGGATACTCATCTTTGAATTTAAATAAAAAAGTGGTTACTTTAAAAAATAACTTCAATTGGTGATAATGGAAAGTAACAACTTACTTTTAAAATGATTCGATTCTCAAAGATTTCTGAAAAAATTATTTTATTATTTCAGGTTTTCCATTACTTTATCCAATATTAACCAATTTCCTAAGTTTCAAGAACCATGCATAAAACTTATGAAGGGTATATTCAGTTTTTAAAATTTATTAATATTTTCTAATAATTTTTGAAATTGAATTTTTATGAAATTGTACATAGAGACTTAATTTAACTATTTTTTAAAATGCTATTTTTTACATATGGTTCTGTTATGTTTTTAAAATGCTATTTTTTACATATGGTCCTGTTATGTTTTTAAAATGCTATTTTTTACATATGGTTCTGTTATGTTTTTAAAATGCTATTTTTTACATATGGTTCTGTTATGTTTTTAAAATGCTATTTTTTACATATTGTCCTGTTATGTTTTTAAAATGCTATTTTTTACATATGGTCCTGTTATGTTTTACTTAAATTAAAATTACCAGACAATGAACTAAATATTAGTTTTTGAATGAAAAAGTTGAGTTACATCGTTTTTTCTAATTCTTTTAGTCATTTTTCTAATTGTTTTTTTTTTTTTCACATTAAAATTCAATCAGAGCCATTAATTTCTTTATTCCAGTATATGTCATTAACATCATTAAATTTTAATTTTTACTACTCTCATTATTGATTATTTTAAAGTTCGTTCCTGAACTTTTTATTTTTATAGTTGGTTTCATTGCTGAACTTTTTATTCTTTTAAAGTATATCATATTAGTTTAGAGAATATCAAATTTATCTTAATTCTTTTTCTTTATAATTAAAGCACTTAAAAAAAAGTCAAGTTTTATACAAGTTTATTTAACTTTTAAATAATAATAATTTTTTTTCTTAAGGTATCAAAACAATTATTCTAATCATTCAAAACATTTATTCTAATCAGACCATAGTCACATTTGTCTATCAAGTCACATGTATGTTCTAGTTCCATCTAAAGTCAGTTTATCAAGAAAGATAGAAAATATTTCTCCGTTTATTTTTTTGCTAAAGCTTTTTAGCAATACTTAACTTAATTATATTGATTCATAAATCTATTAAATATAGTTCTTTTTCTGTTCTAACAACACAATTTTTATTTGCTTTTTTGTTATTCAGAATTATTTATCTGGATTTATCTAATTATTAATTTCATTTATATCTAAAAGAAAACAGTATACCAACCTACATTAGTATTTTGATCTCTTTATACTATTTCATTATAAAAAGATAAAACTTATTAGATTTGTTGTTGCTCATTTAACTAGATATCTCTAATAATAGATCTCTATTATTACCTGCTCATTCTGATAGTTGCTAAGAGAGAGTTGCTGTTCAAAATGAAGTCAATAAAATACATTATTTTATATGCAGACTGTTTTTTTTTTCTCCAGTATTTAAAGAGATCCACAATTGCCAAGACAAGTTGTGTTTATATTAAAGAAAATGTTTAAAAAAAACATTTGGGCTAAATTTTTTTAATTGAAACTAAATAATGAATGCATGCCAACAAAATTAAAACTTTCGTTTTAGTCGATATTTGTCTTCTCTATTTTTTTTTGGTTCTCGAAGTCTGTATAATGTTAGCTGCAATCTGCAGACTTGTTAATTTATTCCATACGTATTTAATTCATAACAGTTTTGGAATATGACATCATCGCAATATCTTTTTAAAGATAGCATTTTTTTTAATTGTTTTTTTGAAGATATAAGTATTTTTTTCTACTACAACCAGAAAATCAAATATTTGTATAATTATTTACTACATCACAAAAAGTATTTATGATTTAGTAAAAAACTAGGCGCATATATATATATACATTTTTATATTTATAACTTTTTTTACTTGCTTTATTATTACTTTGTTTTAGAAGCCAGCCAATATCATAACAAAACTATACATATTTTGTGATTATTAGAGTTCACAGGCAGAGAAAAAATAAAGGCAGTATGATGCAGTTTATCAATTTATATCTAGTTCATATGGTTTAATAGAGTTATTGGTTTTATGTTTAATTTACATTTAGTTATGGTTTAACTCTTTCACTACCACAAGCCACTGGTAGCGTTTTTCGAGTATGTTTTACAATTTATTTTGTTTTGTACATAAACTTCCATTCTAGACACATAGAGTTTGTTTGTTCTAAAGTTTCAATTAATACTCTACATAATCAAGAAAAAATAAGAGTGATATATTGTATAATTATATATATTGTATTTATTATTAATTATATATATTGTAATTATATTAAAATAAGAGTGATATATTGTATAATTATATATATAATTATATTATATATAGATATATTGTGTAATTATAAAAAAGTTATTGCAATGTTAAAATATCTTAAATAAACTTTCATAAAAAAAACTTCTTTAAAGTTATAAAATAAAACAGCGTTAACACTGTTGTAAAACTTAACTTGTAGAAGTTTTAAGTATTTAGTTAAGTAATTACCAAAGTATCTTAAAGGAAAAATATTCTTTTTATTCATTAAACGAGGTTTGTTTCGTTTTAGTTACTACTGTTAAAAACAATAGTTTTAAGCACTTTGCATTTGTTATTGTTTAATGATGCATGTCAAAAACTTTATTATTATCGAATTTTAATTAATTGCCATTCAAATTTTATTTTAAAAAATGTGCGGTTGCTACAAAAAGATTTTTTTTTGGCTGGTAGCAAACAAGTTATGTGATTCTTCGTTTTTATATTTATATTATAACTATTATACTATAACTATACAAATATTTGTATTAACTTGATTTGTACGTTTATTAGTAAAATAATTTGTTTAATTTTTTTTTTTTCAGTTAATATGTTTTATTCAAGTCGCTCATTTTTTATTCAGTTAATTTATATTTAGTAAAACTATTCTTTGAGTATCTAGTTTATATTTAGTTTAGTAAGTTTTACTGTAAATATTCGTTATATTTTTATTTTTATAAATTTTATAAATTTAATTTTTAATTGCATCAAACACTTTTTTTAAGGAATTAGTAAAAAGTTATATTCAATTAACATGATATAAAAAAATAATACCATATCTTGAAAAAAAAAAATTTATATGATGCCATATACCAAAACTGTTATGAATTAAACACGCATGGAACTAATTATAAAGTCTACAGATTGCGGCTAATATTATACAGACTCCGAGAACCAAAAAAAAATGGAGACACCAAGTTTCAACTAAAACGTGAATTTTAAAATTAATGGTGTATTCATAATTTAGTTTTAATCAAAAAAATTTAGCCCAAATGTTTTTTTTAAACATATTCTTTAATATAAACACAACTTGTCTCGGCAGTTGGGAATTCCTTTAAATTTAAAAATTTTATATTTGGCTGTAACATAATTTAGAAGTAAATGAGATAAAAAAAGAAAGGAAAAATAATTCTAATTTAAATATATAAAAAACTTAAAATTTATAAAAAAGGATAAACCATAAATAAGAAACTATCAAGAACACATACATATAGAAAAAGACATACAGAACGCATACATAAAGTAAAAGACATACAGAACACATACATATAGAAAATAACAAAAACAATATATAAACAATTTACAGTTTTTTTTTGTTTTTTTTTTTATATTTGGAAAAATCTTACCCCATGCAAAAGCAGAACACTTTAACAAAAAATTTTCTGATGATGCGCCTAATACTTTAACAAACATTCGATATAAATTAAATCCTTCAATTGCCATCCAGAAGAATGTTGATAAAACAAAAAATTGCAAAAATGAAGCAACAATTTTACACAAAATACGATTTTTGGTTTGTTCTACCAAGGAAAGGAATATAACAAGTGTGCACAGTAAATTAGTACACAAAATGATAAGTATTTTTGGTGCAAGTTTCTGCCTCAATGAGCTTAAAAAAAATAGTAAACAAATTATATTTTTATAATTACAAAAATATATACTGTATTTCTTATTTTATAGAATTTTAGATACCATCATAGGATCAGATCTAATAAAATAAAATAATCAATATATAAAAAATATTTAGCCTTTTGAGCAAAGCATTGATAATAACTACTCAATCAACTAAACTGTGACAAATTGTCACAAGTAGCACAACAGCTAATAATATTTTGAGCTAATAAAGCATTTTAGACAGTCATTAGCATTGAATTAGAATAAGAGGGGTAACTTCTAAACCCAATGTTAGAATTATGCATACCTAATTTGATTGATACTAGATTTGGACACTGTTACTATCAAATTATAAAAGTTAGGTTTGTTCAATGCAAGGCATAAAGTAGGTATTATGATGAGTTATTCACAGTACGAAGCTGTTAGAACTATCTTTGGTCAATGTTACATAACAATTAGTAATATATTGCCAAATGAATGGCTATTGATTGAACTAGCACCGATATAGTAAATATTTTATTATGTTGGTATAAAACATTTTTAGTCAACCTGAGAGTTTTTTTTCAATGCCCAGGTTGGATAGTTTTAGATAGTTTAGCCTCTAGTCAGCAGCTAATTTTTATCTAAACTAATTATCCAAAATAACAAAGTAATACATAGTATACATTATAGACTATAGTTTTCTACCTGATAAATAGTGTTTTAAGGTAACTTTTGGTGTAGCAATAATTTGTAAACAATGTGATATGCTAACTAAATGTCAACTATTGATCTACTTTGGGCAAATAAAATGTTAAACTTTCGAAACAAATATAGCATTAACCTATTGCACAATGAGCAAAATGTAAAATTTTTAATGCATAATAAACAATTATTATAGAAGCATAAGCCAGTAATGTACCAATGCATTTATATCTGAAACTAATGCACACGAATAATTAGCACTACTTCAAAACCAATGCAGTTTCAACAATTAACAAATAAATTCTGTTGGATTGCAAGCAAATCCAATTATATTTCATCAATTTAAAATATATATATATATATTTTTTACCTAACTCAGGGATCAGCAACTTACACAATGCAACCCACATGAAGCTCTTTTATCCAAATGTGTGGCACCTCAGTTTGTCCAAATTATCAATATTTTAATTTTGTTAAAACAATAGATAAATTTAAGTAGCTAAAGCAAATGTTTAAATTTAAAAAAATTTGAATAATCGTTTAAATCGTTTTAAATCGTTTAAAAAATAACAATTTAAATGCTTTCATTCCAAGTACCAATGATTTAACATCATATTTAATCTGCAATGGTAGGTTGTCAAATAATCAAAATTCAAATCTTGAACATCAATTTTTAACATAACACTGTACTTTTGATATTCTTTTAGCAATGACAGGCCAAAAAAATTCTTTTAGCAATCAAAGGCCAAAACAATAGAATTACACCCATTTATTAAATGTAACACCCACCTTTTATTCATCTTGAACATTCAATAAGTTTTCAAATAGTCTTACAGCAGCTAGCATTTCTGTTTATCAAGAAATATTAAAGCATGGAAAAAATTTTACAGATAGGAATTATTTAAAATTATTTTTTTAACATGTCTAAATACTTGTTTTGGGATTGCACATTTATTTTTAAAAAAGGCACATTTACTTTTAGAAAATGTTTCTTTTGAAGGCCAATTGTCTATGTTTAAGATTTTAGCAATAAAGAATTAAAGAGTTTGTTTCATTTAAAACGATGCATAAAGAAGTATCATTATTAAAAAGTTTTTTTTAGCTGCTATCAAAAAAATTTTTTATTTGAAATGATTCATTTGAAAATCGTTTTCCAAAGTTCAAAAATAAAAAAAATTATTTTTCATTTTAAACACATTCACTTACTGTAAATACCAATTAAATAAATTTTATATCATTTTAAAAGATCAATAGAGCTTAATTTGAGCTTTAATTAAAAGATTTGAAACCAAAAGTCGCTTGGTCTTCAAAACTTACAGCTTTGCAAACAGAACTTAAACACTTGGGAAAAAAAAAGTTTGCAGTTGATCAAATAGAAAAAAAGTTCTCAAAAGAAAGGTTAAATTATATTTGAAACACGAAGTTATCTTCCTTAGAGTTACAACCAATTTTGCTAGTGCCATTTTGACTATTGATAATTTTTGGATCTACATGTTGTTGTGAGTTGATACATGAACATAATCAAAAATAAAATAAGATCCTCTCTCAACGTTAGTTGTGATAGTTGTTTAAAATTAAAGATCTTAAATAATGAACTTGATGTAAAACTTGATGTAAATCATGTTCAATCAACTTATCTCCGCAAAGTCAAGAAGTTCATTACAGTCAAGGAAGCTACTTTATTGTGGTTAGAACCCTCTCTCAACTCTTTAACTCCAATATACCAATTTTGACAAACAAGGTCTATGCACAGTGGAACAAATTGAGTGTGGTACTCCAGGGACAAAGTGGGATTTAACTTGGAATTTTTCACTTGACAAGCAAGCCCTCTACAACTTCACCACTATCGTGTTTTAAATAGAATAATAACTTCATTTGCAAGTATAATAAATATATATTTTTAATATTTTGTTCAAAAATGTCTCATTAAAATGAATGCAAGATTTGCCAATATTCCCACTAATACCACTACACAACATCGAAGTTTTTTTAAAATTATTTATTAGTTTATTTACTTTACAATATGTAAAAAACAAAGACATTTAAATATCATTGAATATCATAAAGTATTAACAATTTGATAATAATCTACATTTTAATACACTTGCATCCTTGTGGATCAGTAAGATTTTTAAAATAATTTAAATAAAAATACTCACTAGTTATAATAGGTTCCTAACTCCTAACCTAACTGAAAACCTAATGTAACTGCTAAAAACTTACCGAAAGAAAAAATGGCTGAAAATAGTAATAAACAATCCAACAATTGATACACCACAACCAATCCAGGTAACAAAATTAAGGCCAAGAGATTCGGTAATTGATTGATCAATGTTTAATATTTGTGCAAAGTTTGTTAAATGATTGCAATGGCATTCTATCTTTGATGAAGAAATAGAAATAGTGTTGCATCCAGAAGAAGACCATTTCTGTTCTATACAAACATGTCTAAATATAAATTGTCGTCATCATCATCATCATCATCATCATCATCATCATCATCATCATCATCATCATCATCATCATCATCATCATCATCATCATCATCATCATTCTTATCATCATCATCATCATCATCATCATCATCATCATCATCATCATCATCATCATCATCATCATCATCATCATCATTATCATCATTATCATTATCATCATCTTCATCCTCATTATTATCATCATCATCATCATCATCATCATTATCATTACCATCATCATCATCATCCTCATCGTTATCATTATCACCATCGTCATCATAATAATCATCATTATCATCATTATCAACAATAACAGCATCATAATTATATTCATTTATATGTATAATATGTTTATATATTTTCATCCTGGAATACAAGTGCCATATTCCACATTTTTGAAAAAAATGAGTTACAATATATGTACCAATCATCTCTTTTCCATGCACTTGTTATAAAAAACATGTCAGAAAGTTCTTTTTATGATTTTCATGATGAACATACAAAAAATAGGTGAATAAAAAAAATAGGAATATACAACTAATAGAAAAAGGGGCACTCTAGTAATTCTTGTGACATTAAATGCACTAGTGTAGACTTATAGAAGCACCCTATTTATTTACATGATACTAATTTAAATTAAATAAATTATACAGTTTATTGATGTTGAGTTCTTTGTTATTTAATCAATTTAACTTTGCAATCACCAATTAAATATAAATTTAACTAATCATCACATAATTATCAATTTTGCATATGACAGTCAACTTTATTAATCACTGTCTGAATTTACTTTGAAATTTCTTCAAATTTGTGTTGAAATTGGATTATCTAGTTTATCAAAAAAAAGATTTTATTAAATAATAATTTAATAAATTTAACTTAAACTCTTTTAAATTAAATTTATTAATATAACTTGTCATAAAGATCCTTTCTCATATATGGGAATCGCAGATGATGTCAATCAGTGGAGTTTATTAATTTATCAAAGTGCATTATAAAGGCTGTTCTTCTATTTAATGGAAACATGGTATCATCAATTCCAATGGTAACACTGAAAGAAAGGTATATAAACATGAAAGTATTGCTTAGTTCTTTAAATTACAACCAGCGCAATTGGTTGAAATGTGGGGATTTAAAGGTTATAACTATCATATTAGGGCTCCAAGGGAAGAATGCAAAATTTCCATATTTTTGTGCCTCTGGGTTAACAGAGTAGACTGAGCATTTTGCTAAGTAGTGTGGCCACCAAGATAAGAATTCCCTTCAGAAAGTTAGTGTCAAGAGCCTTTGGTAGAAGCACATCGAGTTTTCCTTCCACTATTTTATATATAATTGGGATTAATGAAAGCTTTTTTTAAAAGTATGGACCATACTGGCTCTGGACTTTTATAATTGTCAGACAAATTTTCTCCATAAGCAAATCCTTGAAGCAAAGTTGATTGCAGATATCTTTTTTGGATCCAAGAAGTAATCATATATGAGAAGTTTATATCAAAATTGGCCACAATTGGAAGCCTGGAATGCTTTCAAAGGTGTTGTCTACATTTTTTAAGGTAACTTCAAGCCAGAAATATTTTGTTAAAAGCATGGTAGCCAAATTTCAGGAATTGGCTTACCGCATGAGTGTCAAGTTGTTCTTTTTGGACTCCCACATTGACTACTTTTTTGCAAATCTTGGTGCATACAGTGAAGAGCAGGTTAAAAGGCTCCATCAGGACATTTGTGCAATAATTTTATCAACCTCGGTATTGACTATGTTTAATGGTCATGTGAATTTTATGGTGACTATGGGTGCTCAATGAAACGTCATATTCATGGTGCTGCTCATAAATGAGAATCACTGAAAAGACAATTTAAAGAGTGAGAGATATTTAATAATTGTAAGTCTGCTTTTATATTGGGCTTTGTTTAATAATTTTGTAACATCCAATATTTTCTGCATGATTAAAGTTTAATAAAAATTGTATATTTTGCTGCTGGTATATTGATGTTTTCCTATATTATTATCTAAAGCAAAAAAAAAAAATTCAAAGTTGTTACCCCTTTCTTTTTAAAAAATCTAAGATATATTTCCCATTTACCTTATTCAAATTACTGGTATCTATAGAAAAATTCTCTGAAGAAGAGTTGTATTTAATTGTTCAAAAATAACTTCAAAATCTTCAAACTTGCTTTCAAATATTTTTATTTCCAAAAAGTGTCTTGTTTAAAAATAAAATATTAAAGTTAAATTTTCACATTAAATTTAAACTGTTTTATTCATCTTCAATATATCAAGAGATATTAGTAAAATGTACCTTTCAAAGAAAAAGTAATGGAAAAGTTAAATTTCCAAAAGAAATCCATGGATTAAAAACTAATTCAAATTTCCATGGATTAAAAACTAATTCAAGAATTTTTTTACTCCTAGATGAAAAAATCAATGACCTTAAAGCCAATGGTTAAATATTCTATTTGCAATAATATTGAACTTTGTAAGTCTATTTTTGAGTTAAAGCCTGAATAAATACTTGACCTAAATCTAATAAATATATAATAATAGCATTCTAATATAATATCTTTTTTTAAACATCTTCACTACCAACAAGGCTGCAAGCAACCACTATTAAAGTTGGAAGTTAATGTAAGAAAAAGCATAAAATTTATAGAGCAAGATAATGATAGACAGACAACTTAAAAGATTGCAAATTAAATAAATCAGGAAATCAAGATGAAGGAAGTAAATTACAAAGAACTAGACAAAAAGAATTATTGGAGCACATAGGTATAGTCACAGAAAAACTTGATTGAACAAATCACAAGAACCAATTTTAGAACATGGCAAAAGAAATGCTAGCTCTTTGATCAGTGCAAATTATAGCATTTACAGAAAAAAGAAAGGGAAGCAACATTACGACAATGTGATAATAGTTGGAGGTTGGCTGCAAAAGCAGATCAAACTATGTTTGCTATGCCTTTTTGCACCTTGTTTAAAAGAGAATAGACATCTTGGAAGATCCGCCCCAGATATGGCAACAGTAATCCATACAAGGATAGATTTGAGATTTATAGAAAAAAGCATAGAATCTAGAGTGAGAAAGTAGCAAGCACAATAAAGAGATGCAATGATATTTTTGAAATTAATTTAGTATATGGTTTCCAAGAAAGAACGGAAGTAAGAGTTAATCCTTGAAGATGAAGGGTAGATGACTCATCAAGTGTTCATAAAAATAAAAAGATCAAGATTATTGCAATAATGATTAGCTGAAAAAAATTTTTCAGCTAATCATTATTGCAAAAGAGTTTTATCTGAGTTTTCACCAGCCAATAAAAGCTTCATGCTGTAGCAGAGATGAAATCTTTTCCGAGCTTAAATGACTCTCTAAGCAATCAGAGAGTGTTGCCTTCTTATCAAGACAAGAATAAATTATAGTATCATCAGCAAACAATGCCACCTTAAATGTGAGAATTTCTTTGAGATCGATAATATAAATTAAAAAGAGTATATGGCCAAGAATGAAACCTTGAAGAACATATGAAGTTACAGGATACGAAGAAGAGTGCTGTCCATTGAGGACAATTTTTATACTACAATTGGTAAAGAAGGATTCAATAACTTTAAAGATGTTACCTGATTGTAAGAAAATGTAGAAGATCAGTATGTAAAACTTTATCAAAAACTTTAGAAATGTCAAGAGCAAATCAGCTCTAGAACGAAAAGATCAAAATCCATATTGATGATTAGAAAGTAAGTTAGTAAATTTTTAGTAGAAGTTAGTAGAAGTGTTAGTTAATTAAAGATTTAAAAACCTTGCTTACTATAGAAAGAAGACTAATGGGACGGGAGTTAGAGGAGTCAGATTGCTCTTCAGAATTTTTGAAAATAGGGATAACAGATGCTGCTTTCTAACTGGAAGGAAAACAAGTCTTTGATAAGCACTTGTTAAATAGTTTTAAAAGCATAGACAACAGCTCCGGCAAACACTTCTGCAAGACCACAGGCTGTAAAAGAGTTTAAGCAGGAAATCACTTTAGATAAAGAAGCTGGAGTGATACAAAAATAAGGCAATGGATTAATCTCTTTGTCAACTATATCAGGAAGAATGCGACTAGTTGAATCAAGAGATGATATTGATGAGAAGTTCTTAGCAAACAATTGAGCTTTGTGTTTTAGTGTGATGACAAAATCTGAACCATATAAGAGTGGTTGGATAACAGATTTGCCTTTAAAGATACTGTTACTGATTCTCCAGAAGTCACTAGAGCCTAATTTTTAAGATTAAATACAAGATTTCATGACCTGAGAATAGCGGACTTTGGTGTTAGACAAAATCATTTTACAATGGTTTCTTGCAATAGTAAACAGAAAACTGTTTTCTGGAAAATTGTTTTGATGATAGATATGAAAGTAATGATTACAATTGGAAATTGCAGCAGCACAATGAGGGGAAAATGATTGAGAAAAGTGAGGCTTGATTGAAATTGCCAAGAAGGAACAAAAGATTCCATGCCAGCCTGAATCCAAAGGTTTAGGTAAGAAGCACATTTGTCAGCAGGAAGATGAAAGATTTCTACACAAGGGCAATCACAAAAAAATTCACGAAAAGAGTTCCAGTCAGCTTTAAGGTAGTTAGTTATAAGTGGTACAATGATAAGAGGATTCTGATGACAAAGAAGAATGAGATAATAGCTTTAGATAGATCAAACTGTGATCAGAAGCACCTAAGAGTGAATGTGAAGATACTGAGCACTGACAGAAATCAGAAAGATGGATCAGAAAGAAGACACAAGTCAAGTAAAGATCATAAGTCGAGGTAAATGATTCGGGTTGTCTGGAAAGCAAGTTAAAAGTTGACTGTTTGAGTTAGAGATTGAGAAAGGCAAAGGTTGTGGGCATTAACGCCTGCAGAGTCACTGACAATAAAGATAAGCCATTCAGTGTGATGAGCATTAAAGTCACCAACAACAAAGATATTGGCTG